ATATGTATGTATGTATGTATGTATGTATGTATGTATGTTTAAGATTATATGTGTTTAAGATTAAAATGCAAACGAAGGAAAAGACTTTTCCTTTTCAGTTAAGAAAAAGCAAATCATAGCTATGTTTACAGGAAGGATCCATTGCCATGTCAAGTAAAGGCATAAAATTTTACAAAGATCTGCTGTGTTGCACATATTGAAATTAATTAGGCTGATCATCAAAAATTTATTGCAGCTCTCTTCCATTAAGTTTCAAGTGCATATAATCAGGTTATGCTCATTTACCAAGTGAGTAATAAATACAACCCTAAATAACTGTATACCACAACAAAGAATGTCAAAGCAAATAGCAAAAAACAAAGTAAAAATGTCTGTATCTTTCCAGTCTTTCATTTCATGTAGATCTCTGTAGCCTCTTCACAGTTGGCTTCCAACTTGTAGAATAGGACTGGCTGGAGAGCAAGGGAGGAGGGAGAAAAACTATAGTTATGAATATGAAAAGGTAGCACATGCTTAAACCATAAGATATGCTGCACTCCATGTTTTCCTAACTTTATGGCTCCTAAATAGTTTGGAATATGATTTTTCACTACATGGAGAAACTACAAGTCAGGATACCATGTCTTTATTCATTACATTTCTACCTCGCCACAATTAATGTGAATGTCCATAATCTACAGCTTTAATGCATATTAGAAAACAGAGGCACAAACTAGAGGCTTGTTTCCTTCTTTGATTAATGATAACAAAAAATTCTAAAAATACTTCTCTGATCAATAAAAATAATCTCAGAATATCCTTAGTCTTGGTCAGTTGTCTACAGTTCACAAATTATAAGGCAATAACATGAGTTGTGTTTAATGCATCCGACAAGCCCTATATACTCTCATTTTTAGTCAAATAGTAACACTCCTTGCACTAACCCCACAGAACTCTTCCAGATTAAGTTCTGCTCATTTTCCTCAGTTATTAATCAGAATAGAAAACTCCATTGTACCTTGTACTGGTGGACACTAGAGCAACAACATAATGTAACAGTTTCACGTGACAAATGGCTGAATCTTATCCTATTAATGTAGAACAACATATTTGCAAGATTTCAATTGGCTGGCTTTATTTTCATAATTAAGCAATGAGTCCCATGTCTGAACTAAATGAAGACTGCAAAAGTGAATAAGAAAATCTGGTACCTAATTCTTATCAGCTTGCAATGTCACATTTTTAAAAAGTTGGGGAGAGGGACAAGAGTCTATGAATTGAAACAAGAATCTTTCTTAAATTAATTTTAAAACATTTGTTCATTTGAGCACACACTTCAAAACAGCATGTGGCGCTACTACTTTTATCCATATGGTCTGGAACCTATTTAGATCACTGATAGCATAAGAAATTTGGGCAAACAGGAGTACAATTATAACATCAACACCTGACATTTATACTGAAGAAGGCTATGCTGTACTGCAGATTTTTTTAAAAAATTGGAACACATATATGAACATATATGTGCAGCATCTTTCTTTTGCAAGGATTATACTGCAACGGTTGAAAGCTCCTCCATTCTCAGAAAAGATATAGCTGCTTTAAGCAGCTGCATGGACCTCCTATAGGAACCCTCATAGGCATGTTTGTATTTGGAGAACTGCACAGCCCTAATGTTAGGTGCAGATAGGTTACTGCTATTAAAATAGCTAAATGCAAAATATATCTATAGGACTAGAAGCTGCTAAACAGAGCCAAATTTGAGGATTCCCTAGACAAAACAAAAAAGGTATATGAAATATTTTAAATTTAAATCTTTCCCAATGAAAGGTCTTTAAAAAGACTTCTGAACCATGTTCAAAATTTGTAATAAAGCAAATTTTAGGACACATGCAGATAAAACATTTGAACTGTATGATTTTTCTTGAAGTCCCATTAATAATAACTATTCAGTCAGGTAGTTTGCAAGTATATCATGGCTAGAAAATATCAAAAATGATCAGGTTTCTAAACCCACCCTTTCCTTTCCTTTGCCATTGCAGAATCATTTATTAATTGTAACAACTTCAATGATAGCTTAGACCAGCGATAGCGAACCTTTTTTGGCTTGCGTGCCATATGTGGGGAGAGCACAGGGGGGTCATGTGCGGGTGTGCCTCCCTAGGCTGTTTTCGCCCTCCCTAGGCTCTTATAAAGCCTCTAAAGCCTACGGAGGCGAAAAATGGCTTTTAAAAAGGCTGAATTCAGCTGGCCAGTGTGCACGCGTGCCATAGGTTTGCCATAGGTTTGCCGGGGCTTAGACTGTTTGGGTATTATTGTAGCTGTTTTAAAAAGACAATAGACAGTATGAAAAAAAAATGAGGGAAAGGAGTGTGCTCACCTTTCTTATATCTACACTATGAAGAGGGGAAAGAACTGGAATCATTTTGCAAAATAAAATTGCTTACATGTTCTAAATACTCTAAATTTTCCTGGTACTCTTTAATTATAATAAAATGAAGGTCAAATATTGTGATGGTCACAATATTGGTGTGATGGACATGGGATATTGGAGAACATTTTTCCTATTTCTAGAAATGCATTATTTATTTGATGTAAAATTACAGATCTTTTTCTTCCTCCCTTCCTAAGAAAAATGTTAAAGGTTCCAGGAAAAGAAACATGTACAAAAAAGAGTAAAAGAACATATAAACCATTACAGAAAATTGAATTAAAATGTACTTACTCTTGCCTCTCAAATATCATACATCTCCATTATGTAGGCTTTAGGCACTAAGCCAATGGTTCCTTTCATTTCTCCTACCCACCAGCCAAATCTATTGTACTCCTAATTGAAAACAATATGCAGTATTAACCTTTAGTCTGATATGAATGCAACAGAGTTTTGCATATGACTCAAGTTTCTTCCTTATATACAGTTATAAGAGCATGAATGGAAAATTAAAATGTTAAGAAATGTTGTACACATGACTTTCTCAAGCACTTGAAATGCAGTTAAGGCCAAGACAGGAAATTACTTTTTAAATGGCTAGGCATCTGTTTCTATGTCTGAAAAAAGACTTTTTAAAACCTACTTACTTACCTATGGATCCTGGAAGCCATATATACTCAATGAGACAAGAATGTGATTATATCATCGTCTGTTTTGTATGTATGTCCTGATTTTGTGATAAACACTTTTTTTTAAAGGAAGATAAACCCTGTATCTTTAAACATGTTCAATGGGAAATATTTTTCCAGTTGTCGGTAACTGGTGCAGTCTTCCTTGTAATGCTCTTTTTAATTTTTAAAAAAGTGCACATTATTGAAGCATTTTTCAAAAGTGTTCAAATTGGACTAATCATTCTTTATCTTTATTCTGTTTGGTTCCCACTATTAGAAACATACTTCTCTATTACTGTAAATATACATAGACACACAAACACACAGTATTTCATTAAAAAAATGAGTATCATCTGGTACCAACTAAAAAATAGTTTAACAGAGTTGAAAAAGATCCTATGTTAATTTTTTAATAAATTCACATACAAGAACTGCATATCATTACGCCTTCTCTGTATTAACCAATGCTTCCTGCTATAAACTTTTATGATATATTGTATGAACCTGACAAATGACTAAATGCATTTTGCTTTCAATTTTGTTTAGGCTTAGCAAGATGAATCCAAATCCAAAAGTATATGAAAGTTTAAGAAACAATATTTTCTAAAAGCAATACCAAGTAACAGAGATTCAAATTTAATTGTCTTTTGTCCCTTGAAAGTAAATATTATTATGACTTTCAGCAATTGAAAATGGATTCCAGTAAAGTACAGGTGAAACTCGAAAAATTAGAATATCGTGCAAAAGTTCATTTATTTCAGTAATGCAACTTAAAAGGTAAAAGTAATATATGAGATAAGATAGTTCAAGCTGTGACTTGTCATAATTGTGATGATTATGGCGTACAGCTCATGAAAACCCCAAATCCACCACCTGAGAAAATTAGAATATTGTGCAAAAGTTCATTTATTTCAGTAATGCAACTTAAAAGGTAAAAGTAATATATGAGATAAGATAGTTCAAGCTGTGACTTGTC